GCCCTGAAACATTGGTGACGGACAATGGAGCACAGTTTACTTCGGCCACATTCACGGAATTCTGCCAACGTTGCGCCATCAAACACGTGCGGTCTCCACCATTCCACCCACAATCGAATGGCCAAGCGGAGAGGTTGTGGATACATTCAAACGCGCTCTCCTCAAATCAAGGAGGGAGGGAGACATAGAGGAGGTGATCGACCGCTTCCTATTTCTGTATCGATCTACACAAAATTTACAAACACCGGGTGGAATATCACCAGCAGAGGCAATGATGAAGAGAAAATTTCGCATGCCATATGATGCAGTTCGGCCATCCTCAGAGTCCATAGCTGGTGAAAGGAACCTAAAGATGGAACGTGATGTTAATCGGCGGTTTGGTGCCAAGCAACGTTCGTTTAGACCGGGTCAGCCAGTACTTATGCGTGATTATCGGGGTGGACACGCGAAATGGACGCCAGGCACGATCCAGCGCAAAGCGCGAAAGCGTCATTTACAACGTGCTGGTTGGAACGCATGTATGTGTACGCCATGCAAACCAACTGCGAACAACAGTGTGTCAGCCACAAGCAACAGAATCCGCCAAGCTTCCTTTTGACCTGTTGACAGACAGCTTCAACTTGCCTACAGAGCCAGTAGAAGAACCCCGTCATCAGACGAATAGTACCAGACCGCAGAGTACGGAATTCGAATCCAGAACACTACAGCCAAGGCGATGCACCGGTAGGCGAAGAATCCCTTCCAGGAGGCTTCAGGTTAATCCCCGGCTAGCTTCATACACAACGGCAACAGCTTCAGGAGGGGAGGTATCCGGGAATCAGATAAAAACATAAAAGAAAAAGGGGAAAGTATATAATGGTGATTGAAAGCTGGGCTGAAGGGAATCGCCTACCCCGTGCGGTCGATCAGGCAATCGATCGAGCGGACGAATGCGTTTTCAAACACTCGGCTAATTGGACTTTTGCCTCAGAGTTGAGAGGACAGTGTTTTTTCGGCGGCATTAATCTGGCTACGTTGGCAGCGTTTTTGTTAACACGTTTTTCGTGGTCAAGGCTGTTGGAATTTTGATTTTTCTTCGGCTGGGCTAGAATTGCTGCGGAGAAATTTCTGGGTACTTAATTCGGAATAGCGAAAAAAAGTGAACATCTAACATCGATCATCTCCGAGCATCTCTGGCGATTCCTTGGCAAGCCACCGTACGAACCAACCTTCCAATCTGCCACCAGAGCCTGTGGTGGTTGCGTGCATCTAACTGGGCAGCTGCACTGCTCCGTCTCCTTCCGAGGCGCCACGTTCAACGCGATCTGCTACATCACGAAGGCGAAGCTCAACATGTTTGGTTTCGACCGGCTCGAAACCCTTTGCTTGGCCGATTTCCCTCTCCGGGCCATCTGCAATGCGGTACATCCTCCGGCAGTACCAAACAACAGAACTGACGACAAAGTCAATCAGTCCGCCCCCGTGGTCCAGGATTGTCAACAAGCCTCAAAGATGCCACAACACCAATCACCGGTTCCTTGGCATCCGACAGCGAAACCGTGGTCTCGAGTGCACATCGATTACGCTGGTCCCATCAATGGCATTTCCTATCTGGTCATGGTCGACACCTATTCCAAATGGCCGGAAGTGGTCGCCGTCAACTTCCCAACCGCATCTGCCACTCCGGCTTGTCTCCAGCGTATCTTCAGTCAACATGGCCTTCCTGAGGTCTTGGTGTCCGACAATGGTACCCAGTTTACCTCTTCCATATTCGAAGAGTTTTGCCGCCGACACTGCATCGAACACCTCCGCTCACCGCCGTACCATCCCCAGTCCAATGGTCAAGCGGAGCGATTTGTCGACACATTCAAGAGAGCGTTTTTGAAATCTCGCGGGGAGGGGACCGGGGATGAGTGTCTTCAAGCCTTCCTGCTCTTGTACCGGTTCACACCGAATCCAGCTACGCCAGGATGCTAGTCACCAGCTGAAGCATTGATGGGCCGCAAGCTACGCACCACCAACAAGGCGCTCATTCCTACTGAGATGCCAACTATTCACTCTGGTGCCAGCACCAAGCATAAAGATATCGTCGTTAGAGCCCCGGTCTACGCTCGCGATTACCGAGCAGGTCATCCTCGCTGGATCAAAGCAACAGTGACGACCAGGCGAAGTGACATGCTGCATGATGTCTCCGTGGGTGATGACACCTGGGTTCGCCATCGCAATCAACTTCGTCCGCGCCACGGAGAATCTTCCACGCCAGCCAACCTTCCCGTGCGCTTGCCGCTGCACATCCTGCTGGATACCTTTGGAATGGCTACACAACGGGAGACCACGGTCGAAGCCGCACAATCGCCGCCGCGTCTGGAGAACCCGCTTTGCCGACAAACAGGAAGAATCCGGAGGTCGCCGAAATCCCTCCAGGTCGATCCTCGTCAGAAGCGGTACGCTTTCTCTTCAAAGGGAGGTGTTGCGGGCACGTCAAATATTCCCGCAAAAACGCGCCAAAAACCCCAGCAGAATGGCTGTGGAAACCGAGGTTCAATTCCTCCCCACAACGCAGCAGAGCTCATCCACTCCGAGACGCGGCCCAAACTGCGCACCTTTTGATAATGGTCATTTGCAAACTACCACCTCTTCGTGGTGACTACTTTCCCTAACTTAATAACCCATAGCATTAACTGTGATCGCCCTTTGTTGGTCGTAAAAGAGCCTACAGAGGACCACTTGCCTTTTCTTCCTCTTCGCCCCAGTTGGGACTCGGTCGGGTCACTTGATTGCGCGTGAGTCGTTAGCTGGCCAGCCTTCGCGTCTAAGTCCTTATCGCGCGTCTATCGTACCCCCTCTCGTGTGCGTCCGTACCGAGGGCTCAGCGGCTAGGATCGTTCACACGCTCGCTCAATTTTCCGTCTCACCGGCTAAGCTAGCGTCATCAGGTCAGCGCAACTCCACTCGATTGGCCAGCGTTACAAGCCGTTATCGTAGGCGTGCTCCAACCGTGCTAGCGACAATCTTATCAGGCACTTACGCAATCATATCAAGAGGCGGCGTTCCCTCAATTATAACAGTTTGCAACCACAAGGTCACCGGTTCGAACTCGCGTAGTTTTGTGCGTCCTCTCGGTATACTCAGCCCGCGCGCTACTGGTGATGGTCGCGCAGCAGCGAAGCGTCGTTACGGCGTACAGCTGACACTTTTCTCATACACCCACCCACGCCTGTCGACCGGCATTTGAAGCTATCGTTTAGTCGCAATGGGAAGGGACGTTAGAGTGAGCACAGAGCTCGAGTCTTACAGGCGCGTTTCCGATAAGCAGTAGCCATCGACTGAGAGGGTTGCTATTGTATGAACATGTGTTGCCTGTTAACCTATTTTCACAGTGCGCACAGATGCCTCTAGGTAAGTCAGCCTCGATGCCACCGAATTTCACTGGTTTTCAACTGACAAAATCTTTTATACATTGTTTTTCACGGGACAGTTTTTCGCAAAAGTTATCCAGTGTACGCTCTGTCCCTTAGTATAATAAAACACTAGAGAATTCATGACGAAGAGCGCCATCCTGTTGAACGCAAGAATCTCCTGAATTCAGCAATCGTCGAATTACAGCCCAAATCTGACTTCTAATGATTAGTGTGTATTTGGGTGTAGTCTAGAAATAGTTCATCGCAATCATCTGCTGGCGTCCGGAAGTCATGGGATCAGAACCGGTAATGGTCCGAGGAACGTGGACCATGACGTGATCCAGGAGCTCGAAACGGCCGTCTGGTGCTTTTCCAGCCGTGTGGGGACCTGCCTGACCGGGAGGTGATTACGATGAACTACACCTGAATCGAATTGGCGACTTGTGAGTCAGTCATTTGAAAGCGGGATTAGCTGTCTTACATTGAGTTGTTTTTTCTTTACACTACTGGCAATGTCAACAGTAGTGTATATTGTCTGCATTTTCATCTCCCGCCTTGAAATGCTTCCGAATGCCTGTGTTGTCTATGGACGGTCCAATCACCCATCTTAAGTGACGCAATTTAAACATTATCCGGTTTAATGCGCAACATCCAAGTATTATTGCTCGTGAAGTGATTTGAATGACTCGGAAAAGAAATTAGTGAGCTATCGCACTAGCATATTCTGCTCCGAAACCGCACATTTAGATGGTTGACGGATGTATGAGGGCTTCATCCCTCTGTTGTACCTACTTTACTTATATTTTTGTGGGAGCCTTTCAATCCGTAGTTGCAGCAACCGGCATTGCATCCTTCAACTCGTTTCTGCCCTCTCTTGACCTTGTGTTTACTTCAGTCATTGTCATTTAGTGTGCGTTATCCTCCACAGTCACTGTTTTCTTTTAGTAGATTTGCTGCATGAATTGCTTTGTTTCGACGATTCGTAGCAACTCATCGTAATAGCCTTAACAGGAACCGTATGTTCTGGGCCAAAAAGTCTGGATACCTCAGGTGATCTCTTCCTTCTCGTCATTGATAATCCAGACATGTCTGTAATTCTTTTGTTTTCATCATCTGGTCCTGGGATGCTTCACTCACGTTTGTGTCCTTCCGCTTTATATAATCCACAATCTTCAGTGCACTTTATTTGGACCTGGTCAATGTCTTAGTAACGTCTATGCTTTTTATATGCGCCCAGTGATGTCAAATTGAGTGCGTTTTATGCATGCGCTTTCTGTATGGGTGTGCAACGATTCATCGTCCCACCATTGTTTCTCGACGAATGTTCCGTAGGTGGTGTTTGTGGTGACATTATTGAGGATAGTCCACTAGTCTCCTAACATTTACCATGTGATTTCTGTGTATGTCATCTCGTGGTTTATTCTATCAACATATGATTTTAGAAAGTTATTGATGAACTGTGACAAGCTGTTTGTTAGCATTCGTTTGACCGAGCCGTCTCTACAAGGCATTTTCTTTACTTCGGTGCCCTTTGTCATCTTTCATGTTGGTGTCATATTTCTACCATTTCGTTGTCTAACACTGCAAAATCTGCTTCCTCTCCCTCTCGTTTCCTATCAGAGCTAATTAGCGACATTCTAGCTCAAAAACCAGAACCTGAAGATCACTTGGGTTCTACCGTAATTGTTGACGGATGTCCAGTTGTTGGTCCTGCTAAATACGACTTGTTGAAGAAGTTTATTCTGGATAAATTTTCCAAGATCGGACCGATTACGGATTCTTATTTTCCTCAGGATGATGACCAACAGACCAAAGGGTACATGTTCATCACGTATGATAATGCAAAGTCGGCTTCACAGGCCGTTCGCACAATGAACAACACTCCTTTGGATAAAAACCACTCATTCCTAGTGAATTTGCTTGGGGATTACGAGCGGTTGTGCAACGTTTCCACTGAATGGAAGCCCCCGCCGAGACAGCCGTACAAGGATTTTGTGAGTCCATGGCTTAATGCTTCTGACCTTCACCGTTCTAGGGTAACTTGAAAAGTTGGTTGCTGAATGAACTTTGTCGTGATCAGTTTGTCGTGGTGCACAATGACGGTGAAATTGGCGCTGTTTACTGGCACAGTGCTGTAGAACCGTCGTTAGTGGAGAAGCGAGAACGTTGGACGGATGGCTGGATGCGGTGGTCGCCTCGAGGGACTTACTTGGCCACAATGCACCAGCAAGGTGTCATCTTGTGGGGTGGCGAAGAGTTCCAAAGGGTGGGCCGTTTTCCTCATCGTATTGTAAAAATGATCGACTTCTCGCCAATGGAGCAGTGAGTTTTTGTCCAGGTAGCGTCATGCGTTTGGGTGCTGGGCCTTCTACCTTTTCTCAATTTCAGAATACAATATTACATCTGAGTTTTCCACTCGCGGACCTAGTTCACTGTGTCTGTCGCGACAGATACTCTTAATTCTTCAGCTTCACCGTCCCATATTTTGACTCCACTGTCATCGTTTCTCAAGGCTTGCATCAGATGCGATGATGGACATCCCTGTTGGTCTTCAGATTCTTTTTGGGTTTTTTTACATTATCTGTGTTCTGAAACCGAGGATAAACCTTGTCTACATTTCCATAATGCACGTTTATTGATGAGGAAGTGAAGCTTACGCTCGCCTTCTGGTTTCTATCTATCTTACGGTCATTTCGATGTACCGTGTTAGCTTGTATCCACATTGCTCCACTTGAAATGTGTTATTTCCGTTACTTTGCTTTAGGTTCATGATATCCATGAGCCCAAGTGCATCAGGAGCCACTGATGAACCTGATAGGCCGGTTGCTGATGTAATATTTTGGGACGTTCGTCGTTGCCTGAGCCGACGGGAGTTCACAGTCCCAGTGGACTCTCATCCACTCTTCAAATGGTCCTACAACGACGCCTACTTTGCATGTTTGCGCGATGGTTTCGTCATCATCTACGAGACCAACACATTTCGACTGTTAGACAAGAAAAGAATCGGAGGGAACATTCGAGATTTTTCATGGTCGCCCTCGGAAAACATACTCGCCTACTGGGTCCCCGAATCAGACAATACTCCAGCCAGGTGTGCATTTCTTTTGGTCCTGTGTCCATTGCTTTCTTCTTCATATTTGCGCTCCACCTTTGTCTCATTGGCCTTCTCCAACATCTTACCCGTCATTTGTTATGTTATTCTACATTGAGTCATTGATAGACCCATCTGCTATGCTTTTGTCAACCAAGTTGTTACGAGTCAACTCATTGGAGCGACCGACAGCACTCTTTAGACGACTAGCAATCGTTAGCTGCTGTTCGTGCCAGTTTACTCTTTTCATACAATGAAGCTATCACCCAGTTTTTAACGAACAGACTGGGATGTTTCTTCCGCAAACGGCGTATTAAACCAGCCTCTTCCTCAGGAAGTTCCAACTAACCCGCGGCACATTCGATCTGAGTACTTTGGTGTGCGCCTGTGAACTGGAAAGGGCCAACCGATGAACCAAGTATCTTAATTTCTTTTCATAAGCATTTAGCCCAGCGAGTATCGTTGATTGGTTGAGCTCATTGCTATCTGATGTACCTTTCAGAGCTATTCTAGTGCGGAGCATCACACTGACAATCTGCTTGGATCGAATGCGCCAACTCCCCGCTCACAGAAATTGGTGATCATACGGACAAAGTTGTATTGAGACCGTTGTTTGTTCTTTTCCAAAACAGAAGTATAGTTTTCTCCACGTCTTCTGGCAACTTTAATAGATGTACTCATAGTGCTCCGTGTCCCCACGCATGTTCCTAGATGCTTAGCGGAGTTTGGATGGCCGCCATTACTGCCACTTTACTGCCTTTTTCAATGTGTCCAGATTAGGTTCTGGTCGCTTTTGTTTTTTAATGGCTCTCCATCCCTTCGTGGAGAAAGTTATCTCCAACCGCTAACTGGATAGCTACTTCAACTGATAATTGGCTCTGTTTTTGAGCCCCCCTTACTCTGCAATGACTAGCCCAATTTGCGCACAAGTATGGTTTTCATGAATTTTAACCCCCCACCCGAACAAGTAACTGCAATTGAGCACGCTATTTTACTTGTCATGCATCTTCAGAATGCACGAGACAACTCTAGGTCTGAGGCGCACATGTCACTATTTTTCTTATTGCCATCAATCAATCAGTCGTTCAAATGGTTACTCGGCTCATTTTGTTGAGGAGCTATTTCGCCTCTGGTTGTCGATTCACCGCGGTTGTTGCGTGTATCAGTAAGATTGATGTAGCCTTTCAATGCCAGTTTTATTGTACTATATGCTGAAAATGGGAAGCTAGTATACTGTGTTGCTCCATCGTAGTTAGGTTTCTCGACTGCTGGTGATAGTGCTTCTTACATAATATTTCGACAAATTCATGCTGAATTCCACGCAGAAGTCTAATTTTATCGTTAAATAAACCAATGCACCAGCTATGAAAATTCACGTGACAGATCAAGCATGTGACTGCATTAGTTTTGTCCAACACTTTTACACCCACTGCCAAAGGGAGTCTGCTTCGTCGTTACGAACGGCCTAGCAGATTTGACGGAAAATTTTAATCAATGAAATAACCAGAAAACAATTTAAAAACTACAATAAAATATGTGGATTGGACACATAATAAATCTCAGCTGTACGCCTTAACGGCGCTTCGCTGCCGCACGACCACCACCAGTCGCACGCGGGCTGAGTATACCGCGAGGACGCCCTACGAATTCAGAATCGCAAATGAGACTGTCTTTCAAAAATTGTATGTAGTTGGCGGCATCCGGTTCCTGATTTGCCTGTTACTGTGGCCAGCCACAAGACGCCTGCGCCTACCGAGGGACCATGGATGGCTTGCTCTGCACCACCCACAGCTCCATCCACACACCTCATATCCAGCATGAACTCGAAGGAGAATAATACCGGAAAGCATGTGGATGGGAGCCACGTTTCATCAACGAAGCCGACCCACACCACTCACAGACAAACACAAGCACGCTGGGTTTGGGGAATGAAGCGCACGTAAGGCGGTGGCTGGACCGTAGTCCGCTCCACACTGAGTGCGTGGAACCACTCTTCGAGCCTAGCACTACCAAAAGGACCGTGCACCCCGTCCACTCCAGCAACGACCTACTGTCTTCTGGACCCAGTTTGGACGTGGTAGTGGGTAATAGACAGGTAGGCACCTTGTCGAAATGCACATCAAGCGCAGCCACGCCGTGGATATCAACCAACAGGCAATCAGTTGAAACGACAGTAACGCTTCACAGGTTCCTGGACGTGAAGGGTGTTAGACAGGTAGGCACCTTGTCAACATGCACATCAAGTGCAGTCACACCGAGGATGTCAAGCAACAGACGATCACTTGGAATGACGATATCAAAGAAAATCATTTGCATAAGGCATACGGATATGCCGACTTAACTCTTCACAAATTTAGTATGGGAAATAAACTCATTATCAGCATATTTGCAATAAACTCAAAAAAGCAAAAGAGGTCAAACATGCATAAATTAACGAAATTAACCACCTTTCTTTTAAGCTACGTGTGTAAGTAGATGAAAGGTTATAAAGATAGACATTAAAATATGGGAACAAAGTGAATATTAACAAAAATAGCAAACCGATCACCTGAAATAAAGAAACAGCACGCGAGCATGCCGTTAGTAAACAGCGCTGCGCCGGTTCTGCTTACTTTCTTAGCAGGACCCTTCGTCGTAGACGTTAAAATCGGGTGAAAAGTAAGCATGAAGACAAAATAGCAAACTCATCACCTGAAATAAAGAAACTCAGAACCCAAGCATGCCGTTTGTAAATCGTATGCAGAGTATCTACCAACGCTGCGTCGGTTCTGCTTACGTTCTCTGCAGGACCCGTCGTCGCTTCGGTAGTGGTGCTGAGTGGCCTCGCTCGTGGCTAACTAGGCCTGCCTGACTCAGGCACTCGCGACCGCATCTGTTACAACACCATGCGCTCGAGGTCGATAGAGTACAGCCCATCAGCGCCTGTCGCTTTCGCACTTGCCGCTTCTTCTCCGTATGCACGAGGGCTTTCTCTTGCACCTCGGCAACTGCCTTCGTGATCAGATCGCGCCATGCACGCCGATCAACCGCCTTCGATTCCCAACACCTGAAATCAACATTAGAACGTGATAGGCTCACTTTGATTATGTCCTGGTAACGTAACTTCGGCTTTCCCACATGCCGCTTACCAACGCTCAGCTGACCATCTAACAACTGCTTCGGTATCCGCGTGGAATACATGCGCCACCCATGACCGAGCCACCTCGTGTCTCAGTATACATTCCACTTCGGCGCAACAACTCCGTGTCTGCAACTGTTGCACCAACCAATGCGCAGAATCCGTCGCAGACACTGTTGATGAAACCGCTCGAGATATCTCACGTCTCGTGGGTACATTGGCCACGTTTCGCTACTGTATAGAATAACGGATAGCACCATGAATTTGTAGACCATCAGCTTCGTGCCGACGGTAAGCTGCTGATTATTCCACACTCTATACTAGAGCTTCCCGAATGCCGCCGCTGCCTTCGATACGCGGATACGTAGCTCACTGTGTATCTGCTTGTCATCCGAAACCACATTCCCAAGGTAGCTGAAGCGGGAGGTGGTTTCCAATGCATCATTACCAATGCTTATTTGCGGCAACATTACAGATTATACCTCCGGTGAAGCTTGAAAGCGACAGACAGTTTTGCTTGTGTTGATGGTGAGCCCGAATTTGGCCGCTGTCGAAGCCAGAGCACTAGTCATGTGCTGCAACTCATCCGCGCTGTGTGCAAACAACGCACAGTCGTCAACAAACAGCAACCCACGTATAGTTGTCTCACAGACTAGGGTTCTCGCACCGAAACGACGGATGTTCAGCAATTCACCGTCAATACGGTGCTCCACACAAATACCGTAAACACAAACCGCATCAAATGCACAAAATTTCATTGCATGAAGATAAATATTAAACAGGGCAGGAACTAAGACTTAGCCTTGCTTCACACCAGAGACAACTGCAAAGTCACCCGAGGTCTCTACACTCAACTGCACCCTCGCCTGCATACTACTGTGCAGAAATTCAATTAAATTTAAAATTTACTCGGACAACCAAACATACCCAACACCGGCCACAATGCCTCGCAATTCACCGTATCAAATGCCTTGGTGAAATCAACAAAAAGCGAATACAACGGCTGGTCTCGCTCTCTGCACTTCTCCTGCAACTAACGAGCCGCAAACACCATATCGATAGTGCTGCGGCCCGAACGGAATCCACATTGCTCTTCCGCCACGGTTGGTTCCACAACCTGACTGACGAGGCGGTTGAGCAGGATTCGGGCAATCACCTTGCCCACACAATTCAGCAAGTTGATGCCACGATAATTCGTGCAACATTGCTTGCTCCGTTTGCCCTTATACATTGGTAGCACAAGGGCATTCTTCAGGTCAGCAAACCGAGTGTTCGTGATCGTCAGGCCGTGAATGGCACACAGTGAGAGCAGCCTGTTACCGTTCGCATTCGCTGAACCAATGCCATGCGAACCGATAACATCTGTCCACACCGATGCATCACGCCCAACGCGCGCGTTGAAATTACCCAGCAGAAATAGTCGGTCGCTCCTCGGCACAGACCGTGTCACGGAGGATAGCTCAGTCTAGAATTGATCACGCGTGTCATCAGGATAACACATGGTCGGACCGTATGTGCTTATAAAGGTGGCAAACTTACCTCTTCAGAGTCGTAGGCGAACAGTCATCAGTCGCGCGCTGACGCCAGTCGATTCACCCACCAGCTGGCTATTTAGGCGATCGGATGGTGCAAATTTGACCCCATGTTCACGTGGTGCTGAGGTGGCGTTGCCCGCTCAGTAGAACGTATAGCCAGCACCTGCTTTATGCAACTTACCTTGCTCAGCGAGCTGGGTCTCACTGAGCGCCGCAATATCAATGTTGTAGTGCGCCAGTTCCATCGTGACCACTGCAGTACGTCGCTCAGGGCGCTCACTGGAGTTCCGGTCCAGTGGTGTGCGCACGTTCCAGCACCCGATATTGAGTGGTTTGCACGTAGGCGT